TTGTGCGTTTTGATTGTGGATCGAAGCACTCTTCGAGAATAGGAAACACTCTGTGTTATAAAGCAACCAAATATTATCTGTCGAACGAATCTGATCTTTCCAGGAGGGATAGAATATCATTTATTTGAATAATTGAACAGTTATTAGTGGAATAGATTTGGTAATATTGTTTAGGTAATGATGTTTATTTATATTTTTGATAAATATGAGAACCGTTATTTACCCAAATCACTTGTTTTGATTTCAACTGAGCAAGACGCGTATCTAAACTACCTAGACAGTTATTCCCCAGTCCAAACCTCAGTGTGGATCCTACAACAATTGTCTAAAATACCATCTAACATATCATGACTACCTGAAAGAGAAATTCGAGTAGAATAATCTAGTATAATATACTCATTAAGCATGACATTATAAACGACTGAATGTATCAATATGATTCAGAATAGAAATCAATAAATTCATTGATTTGTTTTCTGCATTCTTTATTCAATCTCTAACTTTCTTCTCACTTACTCTGTAAATCATCACTGCAGAATCAATACTTCATTAGGCAAAACAAGGTACACATTACAAAATGTTTGAAAATGTTAAAATATCATAATGAAATTTCACAACAATTGAATCACCACTAATTAAGGGTAAAATGAAAATAGTTCAGAAGTATGAAGGGAATCAATTTTACTTGTCTGCACTTTACTTGATAACGAAACAACTCTGCAAAAACTTTGGAATCTATATATATATATATATATATATATATATATATATATATATATATATATATATATATATATATATATATATATATAATGTCAGAATTCAATCGACAATCACATTTTAAGTATTTTCATTTTTTTTTAAATCAACAAATTTTTAAATTAGGATATAAAATTTATTTTATATACAGTTCAATAGCTAATAATATTTAGGTCTCGTTATACATTTTACCAAAACAAGTAAAGACAAATTTTACTGGAGATGAAGACTAGTAATTCATTTGCATATATGCATTTGTATATAATTTGAAAAGAATCTAAATCTGACTAAGAGAACTAAACGATAAACGTTTTATCCTGTGTTAAACTGAGATCATTCAAGTGTCCAAATGTTATACTTCGTAAGTCACTAATGTACGATTAAAAATAATCAATCACTTTGGTTTATGTTATCTCAAAGGAGTTAAACTGACAACGACAGAAATAAAAGTCAAATCATTCTATAAAAGCAATTAAAAAAAAAAGATATAAATTAACGATATTTATTCTGAATTTCGCCCAGATAATAGTTCAGAAGGTTTTTTGTGTAAGTTTATATGCGCAGAATGAAACATTCTGTCGGTTACGTTCATTGATTACAACACTATAGAACTGAAATATCAAAACTAATGCAACGTGAACATCTGAAGTAAAGTTATTGAATGAAAACTGTATAAGAAATAAAAAATTGGAAGAAAGTAGAAAAGTTGATAGAAAAAATACACATGTACCAACAATATTGAATTCGATGTTTTAATCAATAATTCTGATCAATCAGTGAACTCAACTCTTACTTAGATATTATATTAATTGGTTACCAACAAGAAAAGTTATTATGATTTGTGGATCTACTTCTTTCTTAGGTCGTCACTCGGATTATATTATCTTTAAATACATTTATCTCAATTTATATTTATCAGAGGTTACAGTTTCAAGAGTTACATAATCAGTAAATTAAATTTATTAAAACAAAGAACTTAATTCAGAGATCTGCATAGTAGTATCATAATCCAGTACATCTTGTGTACTTGAAATGAACGGCCAAAATGCTTCACTTAAACTAAATAGATATCCCATTTATTACAAAAGTATTTCGATGGAAATTGGTTAGAATTTGTATATTTATTACAAAAATATACCTTACAATAAACACATAAATAGTCTAGTAGGTGAATCCGTAATTCCGCCTGGAGCCCCTCTGGTGCTACTGTTGGTCCCAAGCCCGGATGAAGGAGGAGGGTTGGGCATGGGGTTGGCGACCACATTCCGTAGAAAATTAACACGCTAAAAAACCCTAAAGAGAAAATATGATTCAAACCATTTTGACTCTGCCCTGGGAGTCAGGTCTTCTTTCAGAAGAGTTATGACGTCCCATGATGAAAGACGAGTTGCTTCGGAAGTCACTAGTCCAATGCCCCTTCTGACAACCAGAGCAACCATTCTTTCAGGTACATGGAAAGTTCAAACGCTGTGGAATAGCGGAAGACTTTTCCAAGTTGCTACAGAAATGAAAAGATACAACCTGTAGATGCTTGGAATCAGTGAAACCCATTGGACGCGGGTTGGGCAATTAAGACTAGCTTCAGAGAAACTGCTGTTATACTCTGACCAAGAAGAAAAAAACGACTAACATACACACAAGGAGTTTCACTGATGATGTCCAAACAAGCACAAAAGGCACTTATAGGATGGAAATCTCATTGACCCAGGATCGTCAAAGCATCCTTCAAAACAAAGGAACAGGGCATTACAATGAACGTCATCCAATGCTACGCACCTATTAACGACTACATTGATGACGGTAGACCTAAACGCCAAGGTTGGCATCGACAACACTGGCTATGAAAACATCATGAGGCAACATCGATTGGGAGAAATGAACGAAAATGGTGAGAGATTGGCAAACCTATGTGCCTTCAACACACTGGTCATCGGCGGCACAGTATTCCCACACAAATGCATACATAAAGCTGTATGGGTTTCACCGGACCACACTACTCACAACCAAATCGACCATATCTATATCAATAAAAGGTTGAGAAGGACTATAGAGGATGTGAGAACCAAAGAGGAGTTGATTTAGTCTCAGATCACCACCTGCTGGTCGCCAAGATGAAACTTAAACTCAAGAAACACTGGATAACAGGACGGACAACATCACGAAGGTTTAATACGGCCTTTCTACAGCATACTGGCAAACTCAGCAAATATTCCACATTCTCTTCAACAAGATTTGAGAAGAAGAACAAGTACCAACAGACTGGAAACAAGTATAACTAATCAAAACACCAAAGAAAGGTGATCTCAGCAAGTGTGAGAACTACAGAGGCATCACTCTTCTCTATATACCAGGCAAAGTCTTCAACAGGGTATTGTTAAACAGAATGAAGGACTTCGTAGACACCCAACTTCGAGATTGACATGCTGGATTAGGTAAGGATCGGTCGTGTACTGACCAAATTGCTACATTACGAATCATTATGGAACAGTCAATTGAATGGAACTCACCACCATACATCAACTTCGTTGACTACGAGAAAGCTTTCTATAGCGTGGACAGAACAACACTATGGAGGCTTCTTTGATACTACGGCGTGCCTCAGAAGATAGTCAACATTATACAAAATTCTTATGATGGATTAGACTGCAGATCGTGCACGGAGGTCAGCTGACGGACGTTGAAGACCGGTGTCAGGCAAGGTTGCTTACTCTCATCCTTTCTCTTTCTTCTGGTGATCGACTGGATTATGTAGACGTCAACATCTGGAGAAAAGCATGGTATCCAATGGATGCTAGGATGCAGCTGGACGATCTGGACTTCGCAGATGACCTTGCTCTTCTATCACACACACAACAACAAATAAAAGAGAAGTCGACCAGTGTAGCAACAGACTCTGCAGCAGCAGGTCTCAACATACATAAAGGTAAAAGCCAGATTCTCTGATACAACACAACATGTGCCAACCATATATCTCTTGATGGACACACCTTGGAGGACCTTAACAACCTTTACATATCTGGGCAGCATCACTGACTCGCAAGATTTCACTGGAGGAGGAAATCAGGAAGAAGCGCTAGTAGTGGATAGGACAAACACTTTGAAAAGCACTCAACTACCTCACAAGAGAAGCCGTCACTTGGGACCCTCAAGGTCAAAGGAAAAGAAGAAGGCCAAGGAACACAGCTCGTTGAGAAATGGGAATTAGAAGTGAGGACATTCAAAAAAAAATTGGACAGAACTAGAAAGGGAGGCCCAGGACAGAGTGGGTTGGAGAATGCTGGTCGGCGGCCTATGCTCCATTGGGGGTAACAGAAGTGAGTGAGTAAGTAAGTAAGTAAGGGTAATCCATGGAATTACCAGTGATACAGCGAGTTTATTGTGCTTTTTCTCCTTGTGATCAGTCATATAAAACCAGTTTGTTTGAAATCTTAACTTGTAAACTATATGCTTAATCAAAGAACAGCAAGTTGTTTGAAATTGAAATTTTAATCAAGTTCAAACTGATATTTTAAAAAATATTTTTTTAAGTAATTGAAAGTTTTAATCAAGGAGATGACTGAATAATTTACTGACCATTCAATGAAATACTTATTCAATTTATCAAATACAAAACTGAACAAAATTCAATTCTTATGAATATTATTAACTATCAAAACATTACAGCTGACGAAAAATCTCTCCACCTGAATTGGTACAAGAGCTTATTTCAACAACCTGTACAACAACCATTTATTTGACTTGAAACCATTTACTTTACTGCTGAATAATGTGTACAACATTAAACTAAATAAATATAAGTACCGCTGAAAATTCACTTGGTGTATTATATTATACTCATAGTTCTTAACAATCATCTACATAGACTTTATCTTGTATAAATTAGAACAAACTATCATTATATCTGGTTCAATTCTCTTTTATTACAAAGTTTTAAAAAAAAAAAAACAATTTCGTCTTCTCTATGCCAAAAATTAATTAATTAAAGTTTCTAAAACATCTTTAATAGAATATTCCCGTTTTTGATATATAAGCTGAAAGTATAATTAATTTTTTATTCATGAATAGTAATTTGCATTTCCCAATTTAAAGATAATTATCTTTTGTAACATAACACAGACATGTATATTGTTCCATGAATTAAGAAAACATTTCTAGTAATATTACTGATTTTATTCAATATGAAATGTTTAAAATATCATATGAAATTCTCAGTAGAGAATATTTTAGCAAGTTTCCTTCTTATTTATTTGTATAAAATGATATGTGTAGAGTTAAATATGCATGAATTAACTTTTACAAATAAATGTTTATAGTTGGTTAGTATACGCTACACAACTAAATAATTTATTATCTTTCTCGCCTTCCTTGTATTTCTCCATCACACACACACACACACACTATAAATTCAACTATTTTGCTTTGTTTGTAAACTTTTTTTCAAATTCACTACTTTCACTTCATTTCGTTTAGTATTATTTAAGTAGTTAATGCAGGCAAACGAAATTTCTCTTCACTTCTTTCATTTATAGAATGATAATCTTTTTCAAGTTGTAATGGTAGGTGATGAGACAATAGTAAGTGGTAGTCATGATTATTATAACTGCATTTCGATTCTGATAGTAGTGCTCCTGTTGTCAATGCTGATGATGATGATGGTGATAAAGAGGCAGAGGTCGATAAAGTATCAAAAATAGCATTTTGTTTATTCACACCAATAATCTCTGGCAATAATTGACTAGTTGCTGATAAGTTGTTGCTTTTTACCTGAAACAATGACAGAAGGAAAAAATATTGAACATTAAACATAGAGAATAAATTTCAATGGTTTTGCTTTTAATTAAAAACATGGTGAGCTTGAAAGATCACTTCATGAATTGTTAAGTAAGTCATACAATTGTCATGTGGATAATAAAATGTTTATGTGTATTTAACTTAAATATGAGCAATGAGAAAAATTTGAGAGTGATGGCTAATCAGAATAATTAGAACAACCATTATTAATCAGCCAATCAAAGATTTCGATAACTAGTAGCTGAAAACCTAACTAGTTTACGAAGTAGAGTGAAGTTAAGCATATCACACACCATACATCCATGTAATTAGTAAACTTGCTGAAAGATAAGTAGGTTTATTCGTGCCGGAAAAATTACATTCTGGTCAGAGAAGACAAGTGACTAAAAATGACTTGATATTATGTGAATAGTAGATAGCAGCAATATAATTTCTATTAACACGATGATCATATTACATTCATGGTAAGGTATTGAATATGAAATCATAGCGAAACCTAAGTTAGAGTAAAACTGTTGTTCACTGTTCAGTAGTTTTCATGATATTTATTTATATATTTATGACTAATCATAACTCTAAAAAATAACAAACTAACATCATGCTATGGATTGACGTTTTCTTTCTTGTTATTTTGAAAAGAATAAAAAATTTTTATCACATAAAAGAAATTCCCCTTTTTTGAAAATGATTGATACTACTAACTGACTGACTGACCTGTTTCAATACGGTGGATGATGATTCACAAGAGCATCCTAATAAACGTTGATGTAATTCATGTATTTTAGATTTTAAAATATTCTGTGCAAGTATAAAATCACCGAATTCATTTGATTTTATCATTTCATAATGTTGTTTCATTGAGTGTAATTCATTTTTGAAATGATTTCTTAATTCTTCTTGTTTTAAACTTTGAAAGAAGAAATTAATGTAATCAAAGCAGTATTGAAATTTGAAGAACTTTCAGATTGAACAATGAGATAATTTATTAGTCAACTTAAGATTGAATTGTTCCATTGCATAATATACTTATCTTATTTATTGTATTCTGAACTTGTTAATCAAATACTATTAGGGACACTAGATCCCCAGAACTCACTAGGAAAAGGTCATAACTTTGAATTTTTTGATATTTTCGCGCATAATACACTTGGTTGAGCTTCAGCTTACAACTTCCACTCAAGAAATCCTTGACTGTCATTGGTTTATGTGTTATTTTAGTACGCTCTTTTGTGGCTTTCCCATGGGTGTTGCTATCATTGCATAAATAAGCCTGATTTGTGTGCTTGTTGACCTCGTAATTTCTGGGTGCATGGAGAATACACTCTCTACGCCTTATCAAGACTTCTTGATATAAATAGCAGGGCCGGGGACAAACGAGTAGGAATAGCCTATCGTGTCACTGCATCATTGCTTTCGTTTCGTTTACCGAGTAAGGTGAACTCGTTAAAGCATTCAAGCATATCAATTGACGAGCATATCAAATAAAACAACTCCAAAATATATGCTTCTACTTTTGTTAAAACACAAATTCACTGATGAAATTTACAAGATCAGTGTGTTATTAACCAAGCCAACTATCTAACAGAACTTAAAAAGAACTTGTCGTTAGTACGATAGATAAATAATCTTCGCTCATCAATTATGCATGATATTTAAATAAAAATTATATAAACTGATATGTGTAAATCTGTTGATCAATAATCGCAAACAGTAGTCACTTTTTAATCCATCACTAGCTGTTACTTGTCATAGACGTATCAAGAAAATACGAGTGTTAGACAGCTTTTTCATTCTACTTTAATACTCCTGAATAGTCTACAATTGTGACCCTATGTGGAATTTAACTATAGACCTTTAGATTCCTGAACTATGTATCATTCAGTCATCAAGTTAAAACCCTAATAGACCATATTTTTAATTCATATCTAATTTTATGTATCGTGATTTTTTGTTGGAGACGTTAGATCCCCGGAACTCACTTGATAAAAGTCCGCATTTTGGATTTTATGCTTTTGCGCATTGGCTGATCACTTGACCTTAAGATTACATTGCTCACCAGGAAAATACTTGACTGTTAATGGTTGATGTATCACTTTCGTACGCCATTTTTGTGGCTCCTCTCCCAAGGACGTTTCTATCACTGTATATATAAACTTGATTTGTGTAATTGTGAACCTCGATGTTCTGGGTGCTTGTAGAATACACTTTCTAAACCATATCAAGACTTCTTCGTCTACTTGGGACGCGCAGATTAGAGTAGCCTATCGTATCACTGGATCATTTGTCTTCTCTCTCCTTTACCGACTAAAGTGAACTCGTAATAGTTTCAAGCATAAAAATTGCTGAGCATAACATTTTTATCGGTAAATTTCTGCATCACTTAATGATATCAATATATACACTAATTTAATACCCCTTGCATTAACAGAATCTTGTCGACTATGAAATCAACCAAATTATGCCTAAGCCAATAAATTAAAGGATAACATATTGAAAAATATCCATAACTTAAACTACTTCGTAATTAACCCATGACATATACTTGCGCGTTCGTAATCACAATATTAAGAATTATAATGAAAATATTTATACAAGGCTGTTTGACCTGAAACCTACTTTAATTTTTCTTCATTTGCTAATCGTTCAATATTTAACTGACTTTTCAGTCAAGCATGTATCTGCTCAAAAGTTGACTGAGATTGAATGAACTACCCGAGTAATTTATCATAATTAATCTGAATTCTTTCCAGTTCAATTTGTTTTCGTTTAATTTCCTGTTCATATTTTATGCTCTATAAGAAGTTAGATAATTTAATAGGTTAGCTGGTTCAGTTAGAATTAGACATCTAACCGATAGTCAATAAATAAACAGTTGTTTTAATCTTACATAAAATGTGATGACCTTTGAATAATGAGACTCGATTTTATATATTTGAAAATAAACAAATATACATTCAACACTCCTGCGCTCTTCCTTCATACACATAGATAATGGAGCATTTTGTTAGAATCTTAATTTAATAAGCATTCAGATAAGCGGTTATCAGCTACGTTATACTCCTTTTTTCTATAGATAAGACCAATTCGCTATCAATAATTAGGAGCCAGATCCGTTTTGATTCAACAACGAATTAAGTTCAGAAACCATTCTATGAAAAATGTGAATTTTAAAGAACCATAAACTCCGCTGGTCCAGTTTGTAACAGTGTTTATAAATAGCTGTATTGCTTACACTGTATTTTAAACAAATTCATTAAACTTTTCAGATATTATTTCCTATTACAGATTTAAATATACACTATATAGTTGACATACTTGATCTTTTCTATATTCATCCAACAGATTGTTAAGTTGTTGTTGTTGAATGTTCAACTGTTGATCAGTTTCCGTACTTGAATCAATCATATTGCAATTCTTCACTTCATTATAACTACTACTAATATGATTAGTTTCAATTTCATTTTCCTTTTCAAAAGTAAAATGAATGAAAAGTGTTTTCCTTTTTTAAAAAAAAATTTATTTTCTGAAGCACGAAATAGCAATAAATTGGAATAAAATGCAAACAGTGAATGGTTGAATATCATGACTTAAAGGAGAACAATTTTATGTAAAAAAAAATCAACAGGAAATCTCCACTTGAATAAATTAAGATGCGAAGGCAAATATATATGTACACAAAAGAAACTCAAAAAATCAAGCTAATTCAATTTGTAAATGTTATTTTATATCATATACTTATATATCGTTTTGTATGTATTCAGGAAATATTTCTTAGCTATCCACATAGATGAAAAGAGTTTTTTACAGATTATTCAAATAATTATTATGTTGTATTTACCAGCCCATAAGTTAACAAACAGCACAGATGGATATTCATTCGCAGATAATTATTATCAAATTTATTGGGAACACATTACTGAAAATTGTTATCTTCGTCAGTTGATATGCTTGAATGCTATTACGAGTTCACTTTAGTCGGTGAACGAGATTGAAGACAAGGGATTCAGTGACATGATAGGCTACTCTAATCCGAACCTACCAAGGACCCACTAAGTAGAGAAAGAAGATTTGATATAGCGTAGAAAGTGTATTCTACAAGCACCCAAAAAATCGAGGTTCACAAGCACACAAATCGAGTTTAATTATGCAATGATAGAAACGTCCTTGGAGTGCCAAACAATAGCATACTAAAATAATACATCAAGCTGTTACGGGTTACGGGTATGAGGGCGGTTATCACTTCCCAGCTGCGCACACCGTGGAAGGGTGTTTCTTGAGGAAACCAAAATTAGGACTTTTATCAAGTGAGTTCTAGGGACCTTACGTCCCCAACATAAATACAATAGGAAATGATAAGCGATCAAATGCTTTGTACATATCAGATGATATAATGTATATAAAGTCATTACACTAACGAACCATTATCGTTTTGTTAATCATGTTATAATTTCGCTACTATCTTGAATGGCTCGAAAGGTGACTCATTATTGAAGTTTGAGCTCGTATCCTTTAGTGTCACAATCAGAAACGTTAACATTCAACTATTCAAAAAGTCACCACACGCTTGATGAAAAGAATTATAACACACACACACACACGAGACATCTCAGTCATCAAACTAGTGTTATAATAGAATATAGCCTTCCCTGCTTTGATTTCGTTAACTGGGTAGTACAATTAGCCTCTTAACACCAAAAGCGTGATTAATAACCAAGTATCTAGTGAACGATTTAGCTTGAAAAAAGTGAAATTTATCGTTCATCATTTGGATGTGATTTCATCGTAGTAAACACCGATTCTATCATTAAATTTAACTAGTTGTTTCGCAAATGACAATGTGAATAACTGAAGCTAATCCATTTTATGGAAGAAAATATCAATTTTTTATTATACCAAACCTCTATCTCTTTACATGGACAGTTACAAAAAACTTCAAAACTTTTAAAGTAAACCTTTTTACTTATAACTCTTAAGCTTCATCACCATCATAGATGCAAATTAGATGTCGTGCTAATTTCAGCTCCTAGATGTAGAACCGGCTTCATTTTGAATGTTTAAAACGTCAACAAAACCAGTTGGTTCCAATTGTAAATGTAAGCATCAAAATTATATGTAAACTTAAATCGCTTTGTCTTCTAGAAGAGTGGAATTAAACACTTTAGCAAAGATGTATTTGTTTACAAAAATTTGAAACCAGATAAACAAGTTTAGATTGTACGAAATTCAATATATCTATCCACTAACAAAACAGTTACTCTAAAATGAAAAGTTAAGGCTTATTAACTACACTCTAATTTCAAATAATGTAATATTGGTGTCGTCTTTAACTTTGTTTATCAACCAGCACACACTGATGTACATGACTGTCCATGAATTTACGTTGATAGCCTTTCATTTCTGTATAGTATTGTAGAAAGTTAAAACTAGTTGATTCATAAATTGTACTTGTCATTAAAGTACTTTCTTGCAATATAGTTATTATTACTAATAATACCCGTTTATTATTCCTGCTTATATTCAATTCATTGCCACCATTCCCTAGATGTTCAATGATTAAAAGAATAAGGAAAGCATAGTGAAGCATCCTTATGAAAGCCTTTTGCATAAATCTTTTTATATGTGTTTGTTCAAAAGTACATGCAAATTTATGGACGTAATTGAAGATTATCACAATATATCTCCTAAGTTTTATTATCTATGGTCATGTCCCAAACTGTCAATGAAACTAGGTATTATCAAGGAGAAAATTTTAATGATTTCCATCTACATCACTTACAAATACAACAAGTAGCACATAATCAGAGTTATTTTTTTGGTCTTGTGAATTACATGAAATAATTGTGTAGTATATTTCTTGATATATGTCAACATCAACATTAGTTTCAGCTGCTGTTCAAATAATAATTTAAGTTTAGAAGGATTCATGTTTCCAAAAACCACCGTCGCCGAATGATATACTCGCCAATTGATATGCTTGAGTGCTATAACGAGTTCACCTTACTTGGTAAACGGAATGAGAGCAATGACATGATAGGCTATTCTAATCTGTTGTGCCAGGTCCGCTAACAAAACCAAGAAGTCTTGATAAGGCATAGAGAATGTAATCCATAAGCACCCTGAAAGTACGAGGTTGCTTAGCACACAAATCAGGTTTATTTATACAATTACAGCAACGCCCTTGGGAGAGCCACAAAATAGCATACTAAAGTAATCCATCAACCAATGATAGTTAAGGATTTTACGAGTGTGAATTGTAAGCTGAAGGCCAACCAAGCGTCTTATGCGCGAAAACATTAAAAATTCCAAATTAGGACCTTCTCCAAGTGAGTTCTGAGGATCTAATTTCCCCAACAGTAGTCATTCATTATTTTTATAAACTTGATAGATCCTCTTAGGAAAAATAGTTTCTGAAAAGAAACATTATCAATGCCAAATATGACTTAATATCCAAAATAATAAAAAAAATTAAAAATAAATGTCAGTATTCAAGTATTTGATTCAAGAAGTACATGTACCAATAAAGACTGATCAATTACTGTGTTTAATAATAACCGTATACTACATAATTTTGTTAATAAAATTCATATGCTTATCTGAACTTAGCAGTTCAATTGATGTATGAAATGAAAAGTTCTAATTTCAAATCTCAATAAAGAGAAACCATGCACAATAATCCTGATACATACAACTGATAAAAGTTTCATACACAATGAAACATCGCATAAATCTCATCGTCAACCATTAAATATTAATGAAAAGTATAGTTATACTTTAACAATTAATCATCTGAAAAACTAGACATGATCGATGAATCAATCAACACTTACTAATTCATCAGTTTGAACACATTGATCAAAACTATTCATTGATAATGAACTGATGTAATCACTTGATAGAAATCAAATAACAAATATAAAAATATTTCTATATAGTTTTAATTAGTTTGTGTAAACTGAAATCACTTCAAAAACATTCAGCATATACTCACAGTTATTTTCAATTTTTCATTTTCATCTTTATTGAGTCTATTATTCTATTCACTTGAAAATTTTAAATATAATTTTATATTAAATCATTTTCATGTATATACACAATATTTGATGGCTTATTAAATAAAAAGTGTAATAACAATTTATTTTATAACATTTGCTAAAGCATTTCTTAATTGCAAAGAATTATGAAATTGTTGAATAAAGCTTGAAAGAATTGTATGAATGAAGTATAATAATTGATGAAGTATTGATTATTACTGCAATAGTTGCCGTCGCTTTCACCATTTTTAACATATAATATTGTCTAATTGATTAATGAGGTTTGTAAAATACCACCAATGATGGACCTATAACTGTAGAACCTAACTACGTCTGTAGCTCTTATGTGATCATTGAGGATCAATTCTCTGAGAGGCTGAAGTCAGTCGTCCAGAAATGCCCAACAAATAACTTGACCATTTTGATAGCAGGCCTAGACGACAATGTTGAGATGAATAACATTGTATATCAAGACATCATGGGACGATATGTAATGAGAAGTAACACAAACGCTGAAGGATTCGCCAACATGTTTTGTCTTCAACAAACTGGTCATAGGCGGCACCACATCTTGACACAAACGCATACACAGAGACACATAATAAATAAAGTGTAATTTGGCCTTTGTTCAGGGTAAAAGGAAGAACAGAAAGGTAGCGATCAATGTCAACTGAACAAGTGAGAGAAAGCCAAGGTACAAGCTGAATACGCAGAAGTAAACAAACAAGTGAAGAGGAACATCAAAGATGATAAGCAAAAATATTTAGAACAACTAGTAATGGTAATAGAAAAGGGAGGAAACATAAGACAACTGTATGATACAACGATGAAGTTACTGGAGACAATCGTAAACCAGAACGATCAGTGAAAAGCAATTTAAAGCAAAGTAACCGATAACATTGAAGAGCAACAAAACGGATGGGTAGATCACTTTGAAGAACTCTCGAATAAACCAGTTCCATTGAATACATACATTGAAGCAGCACCTAGGGGCCTTTCAGATAATGTTCAATCACCAACAATTGAAGAAATCAGCATGGCTATCAAAAAAATAAGAAGAGACAAAGCAGCAGGACCAGACAATATTCCGACTAAGGCACTGAAAGCAGATATAGCAATAAGATTTGGTGGAAAGTATAAGTAGTAAAAAACTGGAAGAAAGAATACCCCATCAAGATAACAAATACAGGAGATGTTATTCGGATCCGTTGGCCAAACATTATCAGCAACAACCTACTGTGCGAGAGAGCGAAGCAGCTTCCAGCTGAGTAAGTAATTAGTAAACGGTGCTAGAAGTGAGTTGGATAGACATTGGTGAAACCACCCAACTGCATCACAATCCAAGCCCTAACTTGGAATCCTCAAAGCAAAAGGAAAAGATGTAGATTAAAGAGCACATTACGCTGAGAATTGGAAATAGACATGAGAGAAATGAACAGCAACCGGGTAGAACTGGAAAAGAAGGAAATCCTGATGAAGTTATTGAAAACGTTTATTTGTTCAAATATTCTTTGTTTATGAATATGTTAAGTGAATAATTTCTCAATCAGTACGCTCTTATCTCCGTCAACACCGAATCTGCATAAACTACTTTTTTGACAAGACAATAAAATAGTTTTGTTTATTCATGCAAGCACTTTAACGAAAAATTGTCTACAATTTTTTGACAATTCCATAAAATTTTTTTCTGAATATTATTAGCTAAATAATAAGTATTCACTAACGTATAAATGCCATTAGATTCAGAGCTATTAAGAGTAGTTACAAATATCTTAATGAACAAAATAATTATGTATTGATTGTAATCAAATAGGTAGCTACATTATAATAGTAAAGCTTTTTTCATTAGCGTAACATTAAACTTGACATTTGGCATTTATCTTTTTTTTGTTGTTTTAAGATAATTCTCTTGTGTACTTGAAAAATAAACCAATTTATTCATTCACCATTATTAGAGTCAAAGCATTTTAATTAAATTCCTAACTTTGTTCACATTTTTCTTCAGTCAATTTCGATTGAACAATATGAATATTTAAGCGGAAAATGAAACTGTATCAATTTATGAAAGATAAACTCTAGCTAGACATTAGGTATTATTACTGTAATACAAATTATGAAGTTGAAAATAATTTATGGTGTATATATAGTGTTTAGTTGTATAATTATTTTAAAATAAGTTTGCAAAATGTCCGATTATATGAATAACAACATGTTTGAACATTGAACTAATCACATTACCTTGGCGTTTCTTTAGTCAACTGTTTCACAATTTCATTAGTATCATTTCTAGACTGATTCATGTTATCCAGTGGTTCACTTTGTCTCGAATTCATTTTCATTTCCCACTGGTCATTCATAGTCGCCATTGTTTTCTCATACTTATTTGTGATTTCGTCTAATTTTAACTTATATTGTGATTCTAATTGATACATTGTTTCACTACGTACACGTGCACATTCTCGACCCACTGTTTCAGACCATTTACGATCAAGTTCAGCGACTAAATTGGTAAATCTTGTACTTTTTTCTAACTAAACAAGTGTTCAATAAGAGAAAGAATAAAAGAAATAGAATTTGTATCATTTTTTTGGAAAAAAAAAATTTACTGATGATAAAATAGAAAAGAAGTTACAATGAATGTATGGATGATGGGGAGAGAAAATTGATTTCCACTAATGATGATGATGATGATGGTGATCGAAAATATGTATTCAAGAAAGAAAAAGAAAAGTAGAAAATCTATCAGTGGTGGGAATAGTTTTGAGTTGAGATAAGATGAGAACGATAAAACATTAACAATGAATAGAAAAATCAGAATGAAAGGACAAGTGGAAAAAAGATGTGTAACATTTTTTTCTTTGGCACAAAATATCATAGAATTTTTATTTTTATCACGTATACGACACATAAGGTGAACTTCTTTCTTTTTTTTCATTTTTTTTCTTATCATTATCTAGATTCAGATCAGTAGACTAATTCAATGATTTATTTAGATAATAAAACGAAGAAAATATCATTCAATGGCATTCAATAGTTTAAGGGGAAAAAATAATATGAGAATAATAATATTCATTTGAACTTAAAATAAAAACAAGGTGAAGTAGTATAATCAACACAAATAAATTGAATGGATATTTTCTTATTTAATGATTAAAACATGAATTATTATTATTATTAATATGAGGAAAAACGTTTCAGAAGTTCACGGAATTACAATCAATCGGAATTCAGAGTTTATCCATAAAATTTCATAATTCTGATAACGCGCATATAAGCGAACAATATTGTTGTCAATTAGATCGTGATCAAGTTTTACTCTCTAATATACATGAATATTTATATAAAAATGTTAAATCAATGAAGGCAGTTTATAAATCACTAATCAAGACGGCCAGACAAAAACAATTCACAGCTTAATCTTGACGAACCTCATTGATAGCAGTCACATTATATGTAAAACTGAATCACTTCGAGTGACGTATAATATACCTCCATCATTTCCGGATGGAGTTCGATGCCGTCTCCTACATATAGCAGAAGCCATAGAAACCCAAAAATTAGACGCCGGTTTATGTGTTCAGAAGAACATCGCAACACTCTTGTCTCTTTCTTGGCCGCATGTAACTTAATAAACGATTTTATCTTATTTTATTATTATTATTAGTAGTAGTATTTGTTTATCGTTTTTTCACCTCTTTCCATTTCTGTTCTTCACCATCTAACTATTTTACACTCTTCTTATTACGTAATTCTAATAGAGCTTTAATTCCATTATTTTAAGTCTATTAATCCAAATTTGACCTACTCTACTTCTAAGGTTGATCTATTGACGAAAACTTTCGTCATTGGATTTTATTATTCTTCCTACTATCAACTTGTACTTTGACCTATTATTTGTAGTTAGACAATACATTTCATTGTGATAATTGACTTCATTGGTTTAACATATTCACATAAATATTCATGTATATTAGAGAGTAAAGCCTAGTCATAATCTAATCGAAAACAATATTATTCGCTTATATTAGGTTGTTCTAATCGTGATAACCTTTATGAAAGTACTATTGTATCTGTAAAAACTGCTACATCACAGTCATTAACATTTACATGTGACTGAACTATCAACAAATGCACAAACCATTTAGCATAATAATAATAATAATATTAAAATGGAGTTGATGAATTAAATAACTCTAAGTTTGTGTGACTAAATCAAATGAATTTTCTAACAAAATATCTTGTTTGCCAATAATAGATAAGAAAAATTCTTTGAAACTTTAAAATTATTAGCTTTATTATAGCAAAGTAAATTATATTGAAACATTTACACCCACAAAGATTTCACAATGGAATTGTTCCAATCATGTAGGTGACATTTAACAAGTATGAAATCACATTATGGGGTTGTACAGATTGTCAGGTTACACAATTGAAACCATGAATCTATCATTGACAGACCACCAGTAGAAACCTGGAAGACGGTCGTTTCGTCCAGGTATGGGACTCATTAACAGTGCGCATCCACGACTACAGCACCTCTCAGGATTCAAAACCAGGACCTTCAATCTTTCGCGCAAACGCTTAACCTCTGGACCACTGAGCTGGTATCTAACAGTGTTAATGTCTAACATCGATCAATTCACAGTTTTGCACTATCTTCGGTAGTTACTGTCTACATCCGAACAGGTTGAACTTCACCGGTCACAACTTCTCATTATAACTCGGAGAAGATTCCTCACGGAGCTAGTCACTAGTGAGCACATGTAATTGCATTACGGGGTTGTGTAGATTGTTCAATTACACATTTGAAATCGTAAGAAAGAATGAATAGTACCACACATAAAAGGATAATATATTGACTGAAATATATTTGCATTATCGATGTCAGTCGATCAATAAAAAGGAATGATAAGCTGTTTTTCTTTCTAAATCAATGTATTTTTAAGTCATCTGTTAGGATTGAGTATGAATGATTTGAAGTTGGTTCAAAGATTTCATTGTTTCATTATTGTTGAGAAAGATAAAATACCATCTGTTGACTGATCATGCAGGTGTGGTATTATCTCATCAGCATATATACAAAGTCATACTCTCCATTCAAACCTGTTAGTTTTCCGTGTATATGTTGAATTCACTCTTTTTCATTGATTAGCAATTTGCTTAGAACTTCTATAAAGAATTACTATTACAACCGACACACAACTGTGAATACATTCATAGTTTGAGATTTTCCAATCGTTTGTAATATATAACCACATCTTGGGAGGTGAATAAATATATATTAATAATTATTTTTTTATAAATAACTTAAGTTTACTTCTCTCACTATCAGCAATCCAAAGTGAAAAATATTTATTGAAAGAAAGTGAAAACTATTTATCAGGATAGATTTCCCTGCATATCTACGTATCTATGCATCATGATACAATGAAGAAATGTGAAGAATTTCAAATTGAAAAGAGAAAATAAATCAAACCAAAACAAAACAAAACAAAATTAATCCTAATCTTGAAAAGTGTTACGAGCGCCATTGTGTTGGCTTGCATTTCGTGTGCGTGTATGGTTTGGTTTGGTTTGGTTATATTCAATAAAATGAAAGAAAGAACACACTGACACTATAATGAGAATAAACGCTTAATAATAAAAAGAGAGAAAAACGTTTTGACCGTTAAAAAACACAAGTATAAATAATAATGATAATTTATCATTGACTTCTATTTGAAAAAATAACTATCGAATATATATTGAATAAAGGGAAAAACAAATAAGAAGTAGTTATGAGGCAACAAATAATAAAAATAATAATTTTCAATTAGAGTTATGGAGATTAGTGTTTTTACACATTTGAAATCATCAATCAATCATTGTTAGACCACCATTCGAGAAACCTGAAAGCAATGAAAGACGGCCGTTTCGTCCTGGTATGAGACTACTCATCAGCAGTACGCATCCACGAATCCTGCACCTCGCAGGATTCGAACCCGGGACCTTCAGTATTGTGCGCTAATTGCCAACCATTGGACCACTAGGCCGGCATCCAATGGTGTTAATGATTGATTGATCATTTCAATAATAATAATAATAATAATAATAACAATTATTCAATGAATGTAACTGAATACCAATGAAAAGAAGGATTAAATAGACAGAGTGTGAATAATGAAAAAACTTGTTGTTGTGGGTGTTGCCGTTATCTATGCGCATGCAATAAACCAATATAAAAATAAACATCATTTTCTAAATATATCAACAATTTAATGTTACTTTTAACTGTAAAGAAAAACTGCTAAATTTACCATTGACGTTGTTTGCATCAAGAAAACAGAAATGAAATATCGCAACTGGTCAATATCAATAATCATAAGGAATTGAATGAGATCAACGAATTATAATTAAAATGTATGTTATATCTGTTTTAAAAGGCTTTTTTAAGAAAAAAATTGATTTTAGGCAGTTGAATGCCTGCGGAAAGAAATTTTGATTAATCTAGCTTTCATAATCCGTAGCAATTGTTAGAAAAGTGTTTTATCTACAATCTTAAAAGAATCAGGTTCAATCTTGTGAAATTCAAATGTATGTCATTCATTCCGAACAAGTAAGATATATAAATATCATCGGTCTCTCTCAATATTATAAATAGACTGAAATTCAATGTTGACTTATGTATGGAAATCGTTGATGTTAATACTTGATTGATATAATTGAATAATTACTATAGATTAGGCGACATGATTCTGGTTGCTAGTACATGATCACTTGGTGTTAACATTGTTTCCATAAAACAGTTAATAGGATCTTTATGGAATAATTATATTATATTCGCAGGTCCTGATAGGCTAACTCCTGAGATTTTTAGGGAGGGTGGTCCAGCTCTAGCAGTCACATTGACTGAGATCTTAGGTAGAATCTGGGAACTGGACACAATCCTATCTGACTGGTCTCAATCACTGATTGTCCTAATTTATGAAAGAGGACAAAGGTCCTCTTGTAACAGTCACAGAGGAATCAGTTTAACTGATATAGTTTCCAAATGGTTAGCCTCGATTATACACAGACGCCTAAATAGAGCTCGTGAAGAGCGGACTAGAGGAAACCAGACTGGTTTCGGACCTGGATGTGGCTGTATAGACCACGTCCTCACAGTTAGACAGGTCCTGAAACACAGACACACATTTAGGCGTCCGACAATAATTGTCACCTCGACATTGAGGTGGCATTTGATTCTGTTGATCATGAGGTTCTGTGGCAGTGTCTGTAGTTGAATGGTGTACCAAAGAAGTACATTAACCTTATACAAGTCCTCTAGTCGAACAGGTCGGCGAAGTGTCGTCGGAATTGGTTACTTTAAGTGGTGTCCGTCAGGGATGTCCACTTTCCCCATTCTTGTTTAATTTTTTCATAGACCTACTTCTAGACATAACATTATCTTCGACTGGATTTTCAAGAGTGGACCTTCTACCAAGAGATTCATTGGTTGAATTAGAATGAGCCGATGGTAAAGACGCTGACAAAATACAGTCCTCTGACTACCCTAAGCAACAATGCACGTATGATGCTAATCGTCAAGTTGTTTTTTTGTCAGTGCATTGAGGACATCGCTTCCGTTTTAGTTGAACTCATAAGTTTATTCACGTGTATCTTTGATTGCATTCTGTTTTGTTAAGTAAGAAAATGTCTGTAACACCATTAAAAAGACTACCAGATGCTCTCCTCATGTCATATTTATGAATATTCGAATATATATATATATATATATATATATATATATATATATATATATATACAAATATATATATATATATATCGAATTAACTTAAGTATATTCTGAGTAGAATAAAATGATAGTTTAACCCAATTCCAATCCGTTCAAAATGTTCTTAATTAATTTGACTGTAAAACAACTATTATTACTATGAATATAAACTATTCGTTAATTAAGTCTGTCTGACACTGATATCAATAAAACTATTATTAGCAAGGAGAATTTGTTTTACTCTGTGTATAAAGAAAAACACTTAAACCACATTTAAAAATAAACTTTCTTTAGTTTGTTTTGCTAATTCATCATAATCATTCTTCATTCGTTTCAATTCCTCCGACAATTTGACTAGTTGTTTCTCCAAATTCTCTTTCAATTTACATTCTTTCATGAGTTTCCATTCAATTTCTTTGTTGGTAAGTTGACATTCTTGTATTTCTTTAGTGAGTTTGTTAATTTCTTGTTCTAAGTTAGTTTTTGTTTGATTAATCTATAAGAAGAGTAGTGTTGAATTGATTATATACGTCGTGTTTTAACTATGACTGTTAATAATTGTAATTTTCATTTTTTTCCTTTAAATGAATAGAAATAAGTTTTACGAAAAAGAAAATAGTTTCGTTTAAAGTATTTCTTTTCCAATGAATTGTATTTGAATGCATATTGATTTTATTCTTGAATTCCATACAGGGACACTTTAGTCAAATAACACGCCAGTCTACCATTGTTTAAAAAAACAGTGGTTTTATCTTCAATAATAGAAGTAATACAAAGTAATCAGTTAGTGAATACAGACTTTCGAATCAAGAGACTAAGTGCTTTATTTTCACTTCATGATAGTCCCTATGACTAACCAATATCAACTAAAAAAACTCTTAAAACCAGAGGAAGGTGTGTTTTGACTGGAGTTTCTCTAAAGTAACAAACTGGTTATCCCTCGCTTACACGACTGAGACCAGGATAATTAGGTTTTCTAGAAAGCAGGATACATTTAAATCGCTAAAGTAAAATCCACTACTTCTCAGTTCCAACATTTATCAACTTACAACGTAGTAAGAAATTGAGCTAGTATGATAGGAGATCACTCTCTCTCACTTTGGTCACGACTAAATTACGCTAGTCAAGAGTTCTTACTGTAACTGAGGTAATCTACTTCGAAGGAAGAAAATATAAGAATTTTGTTACGCTTAGGAGAGATCAATTTGTTTCTTAGAGTTTCAGTCACAAATTTAACTTAATTGTAAAGGAGCAGAAATTATAACCAATTACATTTTGTAACTTCCGGTCAGTGACGAAAACGTTTTTGAATCCATAATGCGTAAATTATTTTTAAAATCCTAATTAACATTGCTTTTTTTGCATTACGAGGTTGTGAAGATTGTTGAGTTACACATTTGGTCCAGAGGTTAGATGTTCACGCGCAAGACCGATGGTCCCGTGTTCGAATCCTGCGAGGTGCAGGAGTCGTGGATGCGCACTGCTGATGAGTAGTCCCATACCAGGACAAAACGGCCGTCCAATGCTTCCAGGTTTATAACAGTGATCTGTTATCGATCGATTCATGATTTCAAACGTATATCTGTTATTATCCTTATTTTAGCATTGACTTTTGATGGATGCACAATTTAAAGGTGAATAATTTTTATTTAACAACTAAATATTATTATTATCATTAACTTACTTCATTTTTATATTCTTGGTATTGTTTAGTAATTTTCAACTTTAATTCAGTATTTGCTTGTTGAAGTTTCTCAATTTCATTGTTTTTTACTGTTGTGATATTTTTAATGGCAGATTCTTTTTCCTTTAGAAAAAGAAAAAACCAATCAACTTTATGAATGAAAGCCACTGTTCTCATCGATCAATAATGATGATCGCTCAAAAAAATTTTAACAAAAAGCAGAACATATTTAAACAGTCAAAGCGAAATATCACATTGATGAAGTTAGTTAGCATAATTCTAAACAACCATATAAAGGCGGTATATTTCGTGTATTACGTGTTTGGTATTGAGAATTTCGATGTGAACATATAAAATAGTGTCAGTAGTTTCTTAGTACTTCCTATTGGGAATAGGAGGCAATAGCTTTTTATTACACTTTTTTTAACAAAATTCTGTCAAAACTATAAAATAGGCAAATTAACATCTAAGCATTAAGAAATTTACAGTAGTTGTCACAGAACATATATTTGTTACTGTGTTGACAGATAAACTCTTTGTTTCACTAAAAGAACATGATTAGCTATTATTAGTGTGTCAAAACTATGCTTATCCAACAACTAAAAGCAACGTTTATGATAGATAAAAATGCTTGACAATATAGCTACACTAAAAGACATTCTCGCTGTAACGAAATAAATAGATAAGGTCTACTAAGAAGAATTGACGTACTTGTGCTGTTGTCATCAAATTGTGAAGTATTATCTTTTGTTATCGACTTTTTTGAGATAGAATATTCAGTACTGTCGTTCGGCCTATAACTTTAGGTCGACAAAATCTAGAACAATAACCCTATACTCATTTTAAACCATATAAAAAATATCATTGTCGGCCTAGGAAATTCGTTCAGTCATTTTAAAACGATATACTTGGTTAGTGCCGTTTCTGTCTTGAAATTGACAATAATTATTGATTGAAGACATTATTTTTAGTGGTATAATGTTTAATTTGGCTTATTCGTCTTCTAAATAAAATGTAATTTTCAGTACTTTGACATAGAAATTTTTGTTTTGTTGAGTAAAAATTGCATTTTTAGCAACAACCTTCAATTGTAATAAATTAATCAATTAGAATAACTTATCTTTTTAGAAACCATTAGAGTAACTCGGCAGTTTCACTCAATCAATGATAATTAATTATTTTGAACCTTACACTATTCTTTTGTTGTAGAATCAAAGATTGTAATTTTAAAACGAACATATTACGGAGGTTTCCAGGTGATTTTTTTCCAAATATGCCTCATATTTTGAAACGCCAGTAAATTTGTAATCCCGCGATACAACAACTAACTGTTGTGCGAGTGAATTAATTAATCCACTCTTAATACTTTATAATTTCCACAAACATTTTGAGAATTTGTTTCAACTATCGATCTTTTCAATAAGAAGAATTTTCAGTGAATAAATGACAAGGTCGAAAGATGATTGATTAATGAATCGGGCAAAAAAGATTAATTAGATTGTCCGAAAGCTAAGACAAGCCATGTGGGCTTGACACAATAGTACATATACTACTATATATATATATATATATATATATATATATATATATATATATATATGTATATATAATATGTATCAATTGAGCAGGCGAAATGAATAGAAAGTGGACAAAAATCATTAAAATAAGCAATTTGACGGCAACAGTGCTTCCAGGTTTCTAATAGTGGTCTAAAAATGATTGATTGATGATTTCAAATGTGTAAAAACACAAAACCTCCAAAACTGCCCGAAAATATCGTAACAGTGCTCACTAGTGACTAGCTTCGTGAGGAAATTCTCGGAGTTCTAGTTGAGAAGACGTGACTAATGGAGTTCAACCCTGTCGGGTGTAGGCAGTAACTACCAAAGACAAGTGGGTGAGGTCACGCGAAATCCCTAGATCAATCAGAGTTAGACATTACCACCGTTCGATGCCGGCCCAGTGGTCCGATGGTTAGGCGTTCGTGCACAATACCGAAGGTCCCGGGTTCGAATCCTGTGAGGTGCAGGAGTCATGGATGCGCACTGCTGATGAGTCCCATACCAGGACGAAACGGCCGTCTTTCAGTGCTTTCAGGTTTCTAATGGTGGTCTGACAATGATTGATTGATGATTTCAAATGTGTAAAAACACAAAACCTCCAAAACTCTGCCCGAAAATAGTAATATACTCATTTTTTAAGATTTCGATCTATAACAATGGAGGCTACCATAAATTTGACGGTTTTCTGAAAATTGTTGAACCTTACTAAATGAGTTTTTCCAAAGTAAACAACTATCTGTTCTTTATTTAACTGGCTTGTTATATTAAAAAACCTATTAATCTCAACCAGAACATCAGTTCTCATTGAAAGATTCGAATTAGACTGATTTTTAAAGAGGATATAACACTACTAGCTTTCCCATGAATAATAACAATGAAAGTAATTAAAAAAATTTTCAACATTTAGACGTTGTAAATCATAAGAGATTTATGTATAAACCCTAGGAAACTTGAACACTATGTAGTTGATTTCTGAAAACAAATATATATTGGATAACATAACAGTTTCACAATTCCACATTGATCGGATATCGTATCATAAAAAATAAAAACTCATATAAGATAAATGTGTTAGTGAAATGTTAGACGATAATGAACACCATCAAATTGAACGTCAACTACCTTATTCACTTTCTGTTCAATTTCATGGTACAAAATTTTACGCAAATCGGCAGATTTTTTAGTCAGTAAATTCCGGTAATAACTTTCATATTGCGTTTTTACTTCTTTGAAAAGTATAATCATGTGTGATAAGTTCGTTTTCATTTGTTTTATATCTAATACATAATTTTCAAATATCTGTTTCATAGTCTTGTTAATAATAAGGAAATGAAAATGAGAGAAAAAACAAGCAAATAATTGTTAATTAATCATTCATAAAATAAAAATTTAGGTATAATTATATTGCTTAAAAATTGCTTTATTGTTGTCGAAATTTAGTCGGTTTATTTTTTTTTATTACTAAAATAAATGCATTTGTTCACAGTTTTATGAATTATTTTTTACTGATAACTATCATTATTAGAATAATTTTAGGAAGAAGCTGAGTTTTCAACAATCAATGAAATAAACTCTCAAATTGCACATCGATATCTAGCCAATACATTCAACTTTTGTAGTTTTATACCTATCCCCTTGAAAAGAAATTCGGTTAGATGTCTTACTAGCTGAGCGAAATTGATCTGTTCAGTGGATAGTTTAAGTCAGGAGCTGGAATTTATCAACAGCTCACCAATCGAGATCGGGTGCCCTAGTGCGTTCTTAAAGAGGTATATGTATATTCTATCAAAAAAAAAGAAGCCGGAGACTTCGACCGTTCGAAAGAAGCCTTTATTTATTAAATAACATTTCAACGGAGATGTGGCTAGCCATACTCTGCAGGAAAGATTAATGAGAGTAATTGGTAGAACATTCAACGCAGCCAAACTTGCGTTGACCTTCTCGAGCCGACCAGCGATGTCTACCCGAACGAAGGATAAGTTACCTGAGTTGGCCTCCTCTATGTGCACTTACATATTTAGATGCTCCTGAGGAGATAGTTTAATCAGGCGTACTACCAGGCAACTTAACCAATGAATGAGTGAACATCTCCCAGCATGGCTTACAAAGGGTCAGTCAAAAACAATACGCAGTTCTATCTTAGCACATCTGGTTGATAGTGGTCATATTGCAGATAAGTCTAGATCTTTTCGGGCGATCTATCGTATACCTTCATCATTTCCCAACGGAGTTCGATTCCGTCTCTTACACAGCAGTAATTTTCTGCCTCTTCCCGTTTATATTCATCACTGCCTAATTATGTACACACTTCCTATTACGTAATGGTTTTAATGTTTTGTAATGATTATTTCAAGTCTATTTATCCACCTTTGACCTACTATTGATAAAACTTTTGTTATCGTATTTTATTTTTCTTACTACTATCAGTACACCTGTCTCCGTATTATCAACTTGTACTTTTGTCTATTATATGTAGTGACGTAATCTATTTCATTTCATTTCATTGTGGTTATTGACTCAAATTGCCTTGGTTGGTTTAACATTTTCATATAAATAATCATGTATATTTAAGTAAAGCCTAGATGACGATCTAATCGAAAACAATATTGTTCGCTTATATGTGTTGTTCTAATTTTCACAATGGGAATTTTTATTTAACCAAGTCATAGTAGTTTCTAAAAATTTACTTACGTATCAGCAAATTTACTGTTGTTGCATGGCGTGATACTGAAACTGTTCAAAATATAAATTAATTAAATATCTACAGATTGGTCTTAAAGAAAATTGATTTTATTATGCTTATTTTCTCTAATAATCTAAAGCAACTAAGCTCCTCAAAGACTATATTAAACCGTTTGGTGCTCTCAACACTAGATAGTCGAGTTTAAGTAACTCAGTTGGAAGTGACCCAAGTAGATTAGGTCAAAATTTATCAGATATGGTCGAGTTTACGCATTAATTTTTCTTTCTAAAAGAGAATATTGTTAGACTTATAGCAAATAATGTTCAATAATATATCACAACATACTTGTAACTTGACCATGAAATTCTTCTTCAAACTAATCAGGTCTGATTTTTGAGCAGAAAACTGACTTCTTAGCAGTTGTAAATTATTTTCTGAAACTTTTAATAATTTTCGTGATTCTTTCAATTTAAGTCGAACATCTTCATATTTAGAATTTGCAATTACTTTTTGTTTGTCCAGTTGATTTTCTAATGAAAGATGATTTTATAAGAAAAAGTAGTAGATTTGTTACAAAAATCAATTCACTTGAGATAAAGGTTTAACATTTTACAAAATTATTAATAAATCACAGAAACATTTTCATAGTTGCTCATAATTGTAAATTCCACATTTCAAATAAAGTGATCTAAACTGTTATTACGTTGAAGATGAAATTAGGCGGTGTTTATTAATTGGCACTCAATAACTGAGACGTATTCGAATGTACCATACCCTACTTACGCTTGATGTATGTTTTTGTTCTTTACTGATGTTATAAACCCCCTTTTTTGATTTCTGATTGGAAGGTTAAGCACACTGAATGAAAAAAGTAGTTAAATGTTTGTGACAATAATGGGCGTTTAATGTTTCACTCCATTAGGTTATTGCGAACGTAACTTATGATCCAGTAAAACACGAAATTACCATTGATCTTTTAGCAGAAAAAACCATCATATTGTACTGATCTACTCTTGAGTATGTGACGTGTAACAAATTCTTGAAGTATAAAACTTGTGACTATAAAAACACTTATGGAAATGATGTGTCAGTGTCAATAATGACAATTATTTTCTAAATAATAGCATCTTTTGAATGATAACTCAGAAATATGCTTGAAAATCAGTAAATCAACCATTAAATGAAAAAAAACGTTTATTTCCATGTGAACATCTTTATTCTGTTGTTAACATATACTAGTTCTATAGTTTCAAATGCTAAAGGATATTTTTAGTCTATGTAGATGCTTTTGATAATAGTAGGTTGTGTAAATTGAATTCGTTGATTGTGATCCCTGTTACTTTGAGTAGAATTGGATTTTTGAAATTATTTCAGTTCGCTAAGATGAACTCGTTTATGACTGGTGTTTTCTACAGATTAAAATATCTTCATGTGTTTTGGATACTTATGGTTGGGGACGTTAGATCCTCAGAAATCATTTGATAAAGGTCCTAATTTTGAATTTTATGTTTCCGAGAATGGGCTAATCAGTTGTCCTTGAGATTACATTTTGCACCCAGAAAATCCTTGGCTGTTATTGGTCAATGTATTATTTTAGTACGTCATTTCTGTGGCTCTCACAAGGACTTTTCTATCATGTATCAATAAACTCGATTTATGTACTTGTCAACTTCCTATTTTTTGGGTACTTTTAGAATGATTTTTCTACGTCTTGTCAAGACTTCTCCCTCTGCTTAGTTGGCTCTTGAGACGCTTGGATTAGAGTAGCCTATCGTGTCATTGGATCATTTGTCTTCGGTCTCGTTTACCGACTAAGATGAACTCTAGCATTCAAGCATATCAATTGACGAGCATAACACTTACTAATTGTTTTATTTGATTACATGCAAGTCATGTAACATCAATAAAACATAAACAGAATATGACTGACCTCCCTGAAATACGAAAAACTTAAATTGTTATATTAGGCATAAATGAAAATGAGTTCATTTGAATATTCAATGTATTCGATGAAAATTACTAAATATCAAATAGAAATGTTGAATAACTTCATGCAGTTGTTTATCGTAGTTAATTAACTTACAAATCGGCATTTAATAGAAAGAAGTACATTACGTTATAACAAGAAAAATCAAAAATTTATTCTTCACAAATCTATAACCATGGTTGTACAGGTGTATTCTTATTCAACACAAAATAATATCTATAAGCAAAAAATAATTAAATAACCAGAGAATGTGTTTTGTAATCATAAGTAAAATGAAAACATTACCTGGAATTTTGTAAAAATAACTTTTTATAACCAATGTTTGTATATTTTTCAAACAGAATAATGATTGAAATAGTTCTTTCGATGGCATTTATTTATCTTTACTAATTATTTTTCCTGTCACATTTAAGATTCTGAAGTTGTTTACATAATCTAAACATCATAATCACCGTTCTGAAACAATTACTGTATTCTTAAATCCTTAATTTTATTTTGTATTGATTTGAAAACACAAATTTTAGACAGAAAAAAAAACCAATTATGGTTGATTTCTATTTAACTGAAAGTACAACTACTATACAGCTTTGATCAACAGGTATTTGGACACCAAAGTGATTTTTTTAACATAATTGAAATTCGCTGGATAATTTTTTTACTTCAATGAAAATACAGAGACTCATATAAAATGTTTTTTTCTTTGCTAAGGCCTAGTACATTCGAATCAGCTAATGTATGTGATCAGAATATGTCGGATCACCTGGTATGGAACCGATAAATTAAACATGAACTATTAAATTATGTGTAGTATTTCAGTCTTATTTGGGCACCTCCAAATAATCCAGATTATAAAAACCACTGATTGTATCCACAGCTGTTAAATCAACTACTAGTTGTATGCTTTAAATCTTCATTTCCTCACAATTTTTCATTGTGACAGAATAGAATCAACTCAAATGTCTCAAGCCAAGTAGTGCCGTTACCAGAAAATAACGTGATAAAGTTTCGTTCACTGAGCTGGATGTTTGGATTGTAGAGCTTTCGTTGTTCTCTTGAACAACAGCATCGGTAAGAACTTCAGATAAGAGTGAAGTATTCAAATTTCTTCACGTTTGACCAGCAGCTTGTTCTGTTAACCTCAGTCTTGATTGGTTGCTATTGACCTTAAACTTGTCGTTGTTTGCACTTTTGTTTTGATTGTATCCCTCTTTTGATCTGTTTCTTGATCCTAAGTTTGTTTATGATTTTTCTGATTGGTTGATAAATTGGGTCAATGCTGATGTGTTTGTTGATAACTGATTGACCTGAGTGCCAAGCTTTTAAAAGTGCTCTCTTTGTACTCTCCCTAACCAGTATTTCAACATTGTTCCAATCGAATGTTTGTCCATAGTTATCTGTATGTAATGATATACGGGAAATGTCATGGCGTTTGACTGCTAATTAATATCCATGCAGACGTAGCTGAAGAGGACGTCCACTTTGACCTATGTAGTGTTGTTCACAGTCTGAGCAGTTTCTTATACAGCATATAAATAATCAATCACTTTGATATTTCCAATCCAAATATTGAAAAAAACAGTGAAAATCGGTCATTTTCTACAATCTTTAAATTATTGTCAAATTACTCATCATGCCAGATAGGTTACATTGTACAGAGATGATTTTCTGAAGCCTAATAAATAGTTTGTTACTAAAAGAGGTAGACTGTTGACATCGAAAGGTGCATTCCATCTGATTGAAATCTAGTACAGTTTTTCAAAAGTAAGCGCAAATATGCTTAAATATCTTTGTATTTATTCATGTACATCACATAGATTTGGTTGAAAAATCACAAAAGGAATTGAACATCTTTCGTGAATGAATTACTTGGTAACTAGATCATAAATATTTTGTGACCGAATTTTTTAAATTTAAAACTCTTTTAATCAAACTTCAGATAAACACTCTGCTTGACTAAACTATAAAAATGTATAAAATAAATGCCTAATTACCATGTTTGGATTCTAATTGAGCTTCAGTTATCTTTATCTTTTCCAAACAGTCATCATATTCATTTTTTAATTGTAAATATTTCATAGTCCCCTGAGAGAAAAATGAAAAAGTTGTTTTTAGTCATTGAAACTAGAAGATAACAATAATATAAGATTATAGTCATCTCTTTCTCTCTATGTATGTATTATCTTATGTAATTTAATAAATTAAATTAAACTTGTTCATAGCTTATAGACAGTATTTGAATTAGAAATCAACTTATTTCGACAATCCTGATAGACTGCACTGAATTTTTTTAAATTCAAAGCACTATATGATTGAGTTGATCTAACTTTACAATATGAACTGTTGTTCAATCTCAATCGGCAAAAATTATTCAGTCATTTTCTATACTAAATAGAAATATTTATGAAGAAGTAATTTCTTTTTACTAAGTAATTAATCTGTACAATCACAAGTTACGTGTTATATTTCACTGTTCTTGTGACTCAATAAAATATATTAAGCATTGAAACATGTTATCATCATAATGAAGTTCACCTAGCTCTTTTTTTGGTTTGTTCAATAATTAAAACATACTTTCGAAGGTTAACTTTCCATTGACTTTCAACATGAATCCATTGCAACATCTTTACTTAGCAATTTTTTAACTTCACCTTTGTAAACAACAATTAAATCCACTGTTTGTTTGGAACTCCAAATATACGTCAATCGAGAATCAGTTAATAAATGTTCATTTGAAGGTATTTTAAAAATGATTGATTGTGCTTTGCAGAATCAAGATCATCAAAAATATTTCATATGAGATTGATTTTCACAAACAAATCAGCTAGTTTATACATAATACCGAGCTTAAGTGATTCTGCTAAATTAAAGCAACATCCTATTTTATGATTCATCAGTATGTAATAAACTTCCCAATGATTTTTTTCATACAAAACTGTTTAGTGTAGATACTTTGTTGAGGTTAGTTACATTTTCAGGTGACATTCGTTCTTGAAGTGGTCAGTAGTAACCAGTGAAGTTTAGACACATTTGGAGTGATACCGGTATACTATAATCATATTAAAATACGAATTGATCAAAGTTTACTGCAACACCTAAAGTGCTTAGGTACAACGCTCAATGAGATCATGGATGCCCACTATCAGAGAGTGTTATGGTTGGACAAATCAAGTTTTGAATGCTCTGGCATGATTTCGAAAACTTACCACTTGAATGCAGATCAACAAAAGGAACAGCAGAATCTTGAGTTTTGTTTGATATTTACGTACACTATATACATCAACTTTTCAAACACTGCGAGAAAACTAAACTGGGATACTTCAGAAGTATGGAAAATAGGAATGTTTTATAACGTGTTATAACTGATAACCTGTTTATGCTTTATTGATAAAGGTGCACATTTTCATATTATTCATAATAGATCGAGTCGCAATAGTGATTTTTTTCATGTACATTACTTAAATAAACGCATACCTGAGTTGTTCACTAACTTAATTTAAACACCAATAAATAAATAAATCAAATAAAGCTCAGAAATCAAATAAACATTTAATTTCCCTCATTTTAAGCCGTACATAAGTGCTTTATATAAAAATTTGATGAAATTAAATCCATAAAAACTGATTGAACCTTGAGAGCACAAGATCAGCTGTTTCGCCGACCGACGGAGGTGATTAACAAAACAATTTTTTAGTTGATTCGCAACAGAAAAGGAAGAAACAATTGAAGTAATCGATAAACTGTCTAAAAACTCTGAAAATCCCGCTCTACTCAACTGAAAACACTCAGTTCAAACATTAACTTTCTTTTGATATTGAATGTTGAAATTAATACGCTGATGAACCAACCACCGAACCTAAATATTCATTTTTTGTGTGTTGCCCTGTCGATCAACCTCAAGAACTAACTAAAAACTAGAGCCTAACAATTGTTAGATTAAATGTCTTGTTATGGTGAGGGTTTTTTTTGAAACCGTTTTTTTAATTATTCAATTGTTTAAGTTAACTACACAGAATAATTTCAAACACTGGCCACTATACAATATAAACAAATACTACCAAAAACCAAGAATTATCAGAGTACTTGAATTGATTCTAAGCGTTTATACATTTTCAATGAAAAAATAGGAAGGTTTAGAGATGTACTAATCATTATTTTGCAATTACTTAATGATATCATATTCATATTAGTCTGTGAGCTTTTTGAAATTTTCAAGGCGTAAAGGGTGAATGAGATGATAACACTGAAAATTCTTTTAGCTAAATGATAACGAATCCATAAGCTCTTAATGTCTAATAAGAAGAAAAAACTGAAATTCAATTTTTTAGATTTTCAACAGTTAAAAGTAAATGGATCTAATGTTTCTTACACCAGTAAGGTACAGTCTTACAATTTAGGCTATTTCACTGAAACATAGACTTCATGAAATATATTTATGTATACCTTGATCAAGATGAGAACGGTAATGAAAGCTCCTTATTTAAACTAGTTAACACAAAAAGCACAGAACTATCAACAGTATCCATCTTCTCCATCATTTAAGCAAGTATATCTAGATTAGGAGTTGGAGACTCGCCAGAAACCGAAACTAGATACTGAGCAAGACGTAGGCGCGTGAAATAATGAGCCACTCTACCATAAACCCTACAAACTAATAGAGACTGATTAATAATCAAATAATTTAAAAAGCTTTCACTCAGCGGTATTTGTCTTCGTTTTCATTAAGAATTTTCCTATGCCTCTAGATTGATGCAATGCTGTTACATAAAAGCAACTTTCTAATCATTTTTGCCTAAATACACAACCTAAAGTCTTCCCCTTTCATTTTAATCGTTATTCGTTATTTCAATTGTAATAGAAAAGCGTAAAACTCTCAATTATTAATTTTGATAGTCAAATGATCCTGTATTTTTTTTACCTGGTCAGAGATTTAATCATTTTAAACTTTTTTTAATTACTCCCCCTGTCTTCATTCAAGTATATAAAAATTTTAAGAGAAATTGAATGAATTACTTTTTCAAAACAATAGATTATTTATCAAAAATTATTTTGTTATGAAATAACAAAATTATTGTAAATTATTTTAAACCAATTTTAAAAACCAGGATTAATCGATTCTTCTGTAATTATGCTCTAATGAGCATTGAAACAAATTGCTATGAGGGATCAAATCTTAATATTATAGCAAGTTTTTTACAGCTATCTAGTCACTTGTAGATTGTTTATACAGGACTACATAGTATATTCACTGAATATATATAGTTCACTTCGTTTGTAGGTTGAGATTACAACCTCTTGAGTAAATCTCTTCAATCTTATGAACACAAACTTTTACTGTTAGTTCGTCATTTCCAAATGTTAAATTCTTACAGTATATCACCTAATCCAATGTTCTATCCACTTAACAAAAGGACATAATAAGCATTAACTGCACTAGATTAAGTCATAAAAATTTATGTACCATACACTAGACATTATAAATCTCTTATAAAATCACAATCTGGTTTGTATTTTGAACTCGAGTTGTTTGTTTTTTTTGTATAAAAGAAATGATTTTGACAGTGATCAATGTCGTTAAGAATCAGTTGGTTAAATAACTCAATGAACAAAAATTCACAACATTAACCACAACCAAAATTTTTTTTTAAAAAAAAAAGAAAACAACTAGAGAGTGATTTACTTCTTTTTCTAAATTAATAAATTCTTCATTTTTCATGAATAATTCATTTTTCAATTTCTCTTCAATGAATTGTAAATCAGTAATTTTTCTATGAAATTTCTCACAGTCTAATTTGGTTTTCTTTTGATAATTTATGTATTCTGTATGCAACTAATGGAAAAAAAATTAAAACAACCAATTGATACATTCTGTTTGTATGCAACATATTTTTTGTTAATTATTTTTATTTTTGGCAAAATATTTCAAATATTGATGAAATGAAACAGAACAATTGTAAAAGTATGATAGATGATTCATTAACATTAAGTGTTCTCTTGTTTGGTAATTTTTTTTTAATGATCTAATCGTATAATGTTTATTTTCAAAGTCTAAGCAATATTGATAAATTTTGAATTGAACTGAAGAATAGGAATGTCATAGTTAAGTATGTACATCAACCAAAGTATGTTAACTTGACCACATCTGTTCACTTCACTGAACACTGAAATACCATCACTCATATCTTCATTCGAATCAACCATTTTGTTAATCTGATATTTCACCATAACTTACTTTACTTACTTACGCCTGTTACTCCGAATGGAGCATAGGCCGAACACCAGTTTTCTCCAACCAACTCTGTCCTGGACTTCCCTTTCCAGTTCTGTCCAATGTTTGTTCATTCCCCTCATATCTTTCTCTATTTCTCGGCGTACCGTGTTCCTTGGCCTTCCTCTTTTCGTTTTGCCTTGAGGGTTCTAAGTGAGGACTTGTCTTGTGAAGCAGTTAGGTGCTTTTCGTAATGTGTCCTATCCACTTCCACCGCTTCTTCCTGATTTCCTCCTCCATTGGAATCTGACTTGTTCTCTCCCACAGTAGGTTGCTGCTGATGGTGTCTGGCCAATGAATACGAAGTATCTTGAGTAGACAACTGTCAATAAACACTTGTATCTTCTGGATGATGCCTTTCATAATTCTCCAAGTTTCCGCTCCATACAGTAGAACTGTCTTGACATTTGTATTGAAAATCCTGATTTTGGTTTTGGTTGAAAGTTGTTTGGAGTTCCAGATATTTTTCAATTGTAGAAATGCAGCCCTTGCTTTCCCGATCCGCGCCCTCACATCTGCATCGGATCCGCTTTGGTTGTCGATGATGCTGCCAAGATATGTAAAGGTGTTAACGTCCTCCAAGGCATCTCCATCAAAAGTGACTTGGTTGGTGTATGTTGTGTTGCATCGGAGAATTTCGCTTTTCCCTTTATGTATGTTGAGACCTGCTGCTACACTGGTCGTCTTCTCTTGCATGTACCTAAAAGAAAGGTTGCTCTGGTTTTCAGAAGGTGCATCAGCCTCGTGGCCTCCGAGGGAACTCGGCTTTCATCACGCGACGTCATAATTCTTCTTCCAACTCCCAGGGCAGATTTAAAAAGGTTTGAATTATTTCTTCTGGTTAGTGTTTTTTTGCTAGTTAGTTTTTAGTTGGGATAGGGGCGCCAACCCCATGCCTACCCCCCCCCCCACTCATTTATTCAGGCTTGGGACCGGCAGAAGCCCCGAAGGGTCTACAGGCGGAGTTATTTCACCATAAGGTTCAATACAAATCGTTTATTAAGTACATATTAAATTGAATCTATGTTGACTCATCTGAATATCGATTATTTTAGCAACGGTTTTATTATATGACAAACTGATACTTCTTGCAGTTTAGTCAATGTTTCGAGTTATCCACTAAATATGCAGGACACCTCAAAAAAGTACTACATGTAACAAAAAAGTATGTTAAAAATACATGTCAACTTAAGCCTATTTTTAACTAAATAAAAGCCCCCAGTATATTAAAATGGATATTGATATAAGGAATATTCTCTTTAGAAAATTCTCATCTGGAACTATGAGATTACCTCTATAAAAAACTTAGATCGTATACAGTAAGACAGATAATAATGTGACTACCAATTATGTTAATGTTTCAGTTACAGATTATGTAATATGTAGAACGATTTGAACCTGGCAGGAAGTAACAGAATGGATTAATTGCCTGAGAGAATCTATTTTGTTTTAGGGGATCACTATTCATAATAAGTCAACAGAATGAATCTAAGTAATGAAAATGTAATCAGCGATGGTCGGATTAAATTGTTACTCAATTAAAAGATATATTGACTGATTAGGCCAGTGATTGTACAAAGTTACGGAAGAGGTTAACATATTTCCTCTGTACTTAAAACTTTTACTTTTAAACCCTACAAGTAATTACATTTATTTTGATTATCAGTTTTGTTTCAATTGACGTATAAACTGATTCAAGTAGATGCAACAAATTGATGCTAACGATCTTACTTCATGAAAAATCATAAGCTCAGATACTGTCATCTTTAAATGAGTTTTTTAATGATTACTTTATGTCTATTCATCCACCTTTGACCTACTATTGATAAAAATTTAGTTAACATAGTTTATAATTTTCTTACAACTATCAGTACACCTGTCTTCGTACTATCAACTTGTACTTTTGCCTATTATATGTAGTGACGTAATCTATTTCATTCCATTTCATTGTGATTATTGACTCAAACTGCCTTGATTGGTTTAACATTTTCATATAAATATTCGCATTACGGGGTTGTGAAGATTGTTAAGTTACACATTTTTGAATCCACGAATCGATCGATGTTAGATCACCATTAGGAATCTGGAAGCACTGGACGGCCGTTTTGTCCTGGTATGGGACTCCTCAGCAGTGCGCATGTATATTACAGCAAAGCCTGATGACGATCTAATCGAAAACAATATTGTTCGCTTATATTTGTTGTTCTAATTTCCACAATCGAAATCTTTAATATAATTATGATTATAACTATACACCCGTATTTTTTCATCTAACTAATACAGTCCAACGCTAAATGCCAAATTATTCATTGCAACAAGGAAGTGCAATAAGATTAAGTGTTTTTGCATTTCAACGTACAGTTTGGATAAATATTTGAACGATTCCGAATATATATATACATACATACAGATGATACATTATTACCTGATCATATTTCAATTTTGAACTTTCAATATGATTTTCTAGTTTATACTGAATTTCTTTATTTAATTTATGTAATTTTGATAATTCCTCCTGGAATTCTTCTCTTTCTTGATTTAATCGTTGTTGCCAAATATTGTTTAAATTAATTTCTGTATTGTGTTTGATAAAATTACTTAATTCATTTTTCTCTTCATTATTTCTGATCATTGATTGATCATATAGAGATTGCTGATTTTTTAAGTCGTCCAAGAGAGTTTTATTAATTTCTAAAAGTTCAGTTTCTTTTTTAGTTTTTTCATCTGTAAGATTTTTGACAATTTCTTGAATTTTACATTCATATTGATCGGTAAGAACTTTGATTCTGCCTAAATAATAACATGAAAAATTTTACACAAGATAAGTGAATTGAATAAGATAATTTTAAATATTATAAATAAAGATATTTTACTGAATATATGAACATGATATATATATATATATATATATATATATATATATATTTCATAATATTTTGTCAGATAACATCTGTTAATGAAGATGAAAATGGAATAAGACTGGCAATTTCCATCTACTTTGTAAAACTTGATGAAATCTTGAATTTTCACACAATCACCATCTTTTACAAAGTTAAATAAGGTCAAAGAACAATTCTTTTTTTAAGCCCCTTACAACCACAGACATACAAAAGTGTAAAACTGAGGTATAATAGAGTGTAAAATCTAGTAGACACTGGTGATGAGGGAAATTGAAATAGCAACAATTTTCAATAGTTAGTAAATGGGGAGATTATTTGGCAGCAAAATTCAAAAGCATAAAAGAATTGAGGTTGTGATACTATGAATTCTAGAAACTAGTAAGATAAGTTGTACATCACTTAAAGATTCAAAAAAATCCACATAACATAGAAAACGTGGGAGGATGAAGTGATAATTTATTTTTAGAATTCGTAATCGATAAGACGGATTACGTATTAATTCAAAAAGGTTCAAACAGTTTGCATAAGCTTCACGAACTCACTGAGGAAAGGCAATTTCAGCACAGATGAAAAGCGCAGTAAATCATGAAAAACGAAAAAGGCACTATATAACGATGACAGTAATAGTAATAATAGTTACAGATCACCTTCATCAAAGGCTTGAATATACCAAGACAATGATAAATTGATGATTATATTTCGTGAAATATGTAAATCCATTTGGAACTTTTCCACCTGTATCTTTTCAGTGAAATAAATAAAAGCCGAGTTATTGTCTGCAGATAATTTAATTTTAAATCCTAAAGCACATTCACTAGAAAAACAAAGAGTTATATATATGTTTGCATTTGCAATTACGTCCCAAAAGTTTGGAAACTGAAGGGTGCAAAAGCTTCAAAGAGCACCATTGCGCTCTGTATTCAACTGACAGTTGGCATATCAAGGATGTTCCTCAATCTTCCAAAAATTATTGACAGACAAAATGATGTAACATATTAAAAAATTGTCAGTATCTATCCCCTTGAATAATCATGGATGAAAAAGCAACCATTTGGTTTTTTGTAGCAGTATCCTACTTAAAATTAAATTCTATACTAAGCAATTATTAACCTCAAGAAAACGTCTGAATTTTTATCGCGAAACTTCAAACAAATAGGTTATCCCAGCTGCAATATTTAGATGAAACACCGAGATAAAACTCAATTACAATGTTAAGTAAGCACAGTTATAACCGTATCAGTTTATTTAAACAAATACAGTGACCCAATAAATAATGTTTTCAAAAAACTCATCAAACAGCGCGACCGGTTTGTATGGGGTCCAGTTTCTTCAGTACTACAATATTCTATGCCCAATTAGAATGTGTTACTGAATATTATTTCAGTAGTTTATGCAATTTTCAGACATTTTTCCTGACTTGGCAGGAGGTGGAGCAAACTACAAGCTACCATTCCCATTCATTGCAAGTCTTACACATGTTTTACTTTGTTTGCCTGGTTGTGGTGTAATCGCTACTTCCCCTCGTTGTTTAATATCCTTTGTATCTAATACTTGCTGAGATTCATTTGTCTTTAAAGACTTGCGCCTTTTCGATACGTAGATGATGATTTATCTTCCTCAATTGCTACTACTCATTTTGTGATCATATATTAGTCCCTGATCAATAACGGTACATACTGTATATTCATTTTTGCCTTAAAGAGGTAGTATTTTTTTCTATACTTTTAAAATTATGACTAAGGTGCAAATTTTTAGTATTTTAATAACCGCGTTTTCAGACAAATTTCATCTTTCGGCTTAGAAATTTCGCAAAACAGACTTCACCGAAAAAATAATACTAACTTCCAAAGAGTCAATAAAATTTTTGCAAATAATGGACCTAGGCTTTTATCCTAGCTGTAATACTACTAGATGGTTAGATATCCAACTGTACAATTTTGATAATGCCTATGATCATTTATTCTGTATTCTACATACTATATGCAAAACACAATTGCTTAAACTGTCTTAAGAGCGACAATACTTAAACTACAGTATGCCGTTACAAGATTCCATCGAACGAAAATTGATCCTTAATTCATTTTCGCATTGTTTCATTATTCAGGTACCGTGAAAATTCTTTAAAAGTAAAGGGTTCAGAATTGGAGTTCTGTGAACATTTGGTTTGCAAATATGGTTTATTCAAATGATTTCAAAAAAGCCTCATTTATCAGTCTTTCGATCAAAATTTTGAACGAACTACTAGGTATTTGTGGTTTCTATATTGTTCACTAAACATTGTAGTTGACTTTTGACTTAACCGTATTGAATTTTGAAGATTATTCACACTTTATAGACTTACATTCAACTTCTATTTCTAACGAAGAATATTTCTCCTGTAATCTTTTAAATTCACATTCAAGTTGTAATTTCTCGTTGAGAACAGGTTCAACATCTGGACATTGGTGAGATTCCCACTGTTGAGCGAAACTTTGAACTGTGTTCAGTTCTTTTTCATATTTTTCTCTATGTTCAACAAGAGCTTGCTGCAGTTTAACTACTTCTTCATTATGTTTCATTCTCAACATTTCTTCCTTCAACTGATTCTCATTAATTAGCTGATTATATTTCTGTTCAATTTAAATAGTACATATTAGAATTTTTTAAGTATGATTCGTTTATTTTGAGAACAGTAGTTAATTAGTTGATATGATTTACTTCTCAAATCACAAGAATATATTAACAAAGTCGAATTATTTTCGAATGGCTGTCCATTGGGCATTCAAATTTCTGTAAGGTTAAGCATCAAATATATTCACTAACTTCTATAACCACTTATGTCACTAAAAGTGTTTTTAGAACATTTACAATATAGCCTAATAGCAGAACTATAATAATTGTGTCTTTCTGATGCATTTGTTAGATAAATTTACTATCGTATAAATGACAGACAGAAATAAAATAAAAAACCCTAAAATATCAAGTGCTTTTTTGTAGGTAGGCGTCAAAATACGATGTGATAGTGTGAACTATGAAGTAGAACACTTTTATGAAGTAACGCGTTCTTACCTAATTGATCACGCTAACTTAAAGTCATAGAAGTTAACATAATTGAAAGCGAAACGTGACAGAGTAAACTTGAATTTCGATTCATCTGACCCTATATATACAGACCTATGTATATATATACCCATTATTTATATATGCCAGCAACTAGATGGCCAGGCAACTTGTTTCTTTAGTATGAATCAGACAAAACATGTTGTAAATAACCGAAAAACACTATCAGCCATCAAACAATTAAAATATATTATTTTTTCGAAATCTATGTTCCTGTAAATCAAACATTAGCGTGATAATGTGAGCTCTAGTTTGTTATTTTTTAAATGAATCCACTAGAATGAAGTTAAATGCGAGCAGAAGTTATCTTTTTTGCTCCGTATATTAGTCGGTGAATAACAATGTTAACCTAAAGAATACCTAAAGATAAGAAAAAGATTACTTTATCTAATCGCTGTAAGTCATTCGGTAAACACTGCATCATTTTACTTGTAACGTAACATTCGGAAAGTAGCTATTAAAATGCTTATTTTAATGCATTAACTTCATAAGGGAACTTATGGTACAACTGAAGACAATGTTATCAAAAGCAAAAGCCTGTGTCTGAATTTTAGAAATATACTTCGACGTTTGAGATAAGTTTGTCGTTTGCCCATTTATTTATTCGATATGAAAGCAAATCTTATTTGGCAGTGCAGCATTTCACAAATGTTTCAAAACCCCAACCTCAAGAAATTAAAGAGTCCGAATAAGCGTTATCTGAGCATTTTATTAGGAGTGACAGAAAAAACGGCTGTGAAGTATTGCTCGATAGATTATAGATTATCTAGTAATTCATGAAGTACTGAAAAGATACCCTTACTAGTTAAATTTATTGAAGTAAATATGCTATTTGTAAACAACTAACGAACGGCTCATCTAACTAATGTGACCCTTTAATGACAGATACGATATTAGTGTTTCTCTCCTGTTGTACATAAAAAGAAAAGAAGTTTTTTGCAACTAAACTGTTTGGGATCTAAAGTAATGCTCCCGAATCGGTAGATGTTCTCGTGACTAAAAGGGAGCCAACAACATCTTGAAATGAATATGTACATGAATAGGTTACATTTGTGTTATTTCAGTTTTGATTTTAGTAAGGATTTTATGCGAAATACTCATGAAGATGCCTTGAAGCTTGAAGTTTAGGGAAAACAAAACGATCATAACAGAACTAGCTTAGTCACAATTTATCCACTAAATATCAGTTGTCGGAGGATTTAAAAAACAGTGTCTGCTTTCCGGTGTCTTTTGAAAATTTAAAAATGAATGTCGAAAATTCTAAAGTTCTATCGCTGCAGCAAACTCAGTATTTTTAGTCGGAATTGGATTTACCAGAAGAGTTAAATGAGCTAGAAAGGGTTAACCGAAAAGGATTTGCGAGATCCTCAGGAAGATTATTCCTGTGAAGTTGCTGTCCTTTGATTTGATGGTCGAATTGTAAAAATATGCTTTTTCGGTAAACTGCGTCATTAGCAAAACCACAAGTAGAAAAAAGTTAGTGGAATTTTTCTATAAGTAGTAGCTATTTCTGTTTACAGTGAACTGATTGCTGTCAAAACTTGCCATGTCACCGTTTACGTGTTCGATTTGTCTTTTTTGGTAGCCCAATTCTCATAAATGTGCTTTTTAAAGCTCCATGCCATGTTTTGGTCTGGCCGCCCCTAGTTTTCTTCCAACTGGAGATGAGTGTACTATACACCTGGAATGTTTTCATAAGGCTTTAAAACCTGATGACCTGATGGAATGAAACCTTAGTTTTGCATTAAAAAGTTTGGATTTCGAAGTTATGGGACTAGGTGAGTTTCATAGCGGTATAACAGTTTCATAATGCACTCCACTATTAAAAACAACTCACAGACTCCATTTCGATTATTTCTAACTCCTTTTCATTAACACTCTTTTCTAAGAAGGCTACTGTATCACCAAATGCTTTCTCCTTTTCAAGTCGAAGCTCCAAATCCTTCACTTTCAATTCATAAGAATTCTTTAGTTTGATAATTTCATCTTCATGTAGCTTGGAAGTCTCCTTAAGTAGATCGACAGAATCTTCACCGCGTGAGTTCAACATACAAACAACTTTTGTCAACTGTGCAATCTTTTTGGACATCCTGAAGTGAATATCTTGGTCATGACCTAGCATGTTGTTTGTCATGTAGGACTTGTAGTCGGAGTATGCTGGCATAATTTCCGGTGACTAATTTCGATATAAACTGTGCATATGTTTTTGACCGAATCAGATGAAAATAAAAATAAGAGAAAAGGTAAGTCGATAATTCAGTGTTCAAATACTTATTAATTAATAAAAACATTTAACGACAATAAATAGCAGCAACGGTGTGATGAAAAAAACCTGGAGTTAAGATAGTAACAACCCAAATGAGTTAAGAATGTCTAATTTCAGCCCTTGGTATGTTTGAATTAAGCTTGAAGGTACCTCCTATGCTGAGGGAATGAATGCAATATGTGAAGTTATCTGAAGAGGAAAGAACAAGAGAAAAAGTGAGCTCACAACTCAGTAAGCACATAAAATAAACTCACTTTAAATATAGGGCACAATCGATGACAATCAGAAATAACGCATGCATGAGATGGAAACAAATTTATAATCCGAACTATAGGTTGGTAGCCTAGGACTTCGAATGAGTTCCAGGCAAGACTATCAAAATATAGACAGCGTTACTGTAGACACCGACCTAGACAATCTGCAAGGATAAACTCAAGTATCCAATATCCAATGCCTTAACAAGGAGCATGGATGAACTCAATATCTTTTTCACGAGCTAGTATAAACAAATGATTTCTTTGACCTCGATTCTCGTTCTTTCAGTAATTTTACAGATGTTTGGTAGCGTCCAATGAATGGGGGTCTGGCCACTTGACTGTCTAATTCTAGTCATTTGGCAGTTGGTTGTGAGTTTTTCTGTCCCATGATTTGAATGAATACGCTTGTTTCAGGGCAGTAGGGTTTCTGAACACCAGCAGCTATCACATTACTAGACCGGAGATCATTTAGTTGCAATATGGAGAAGAATAAAGAAAAAATTTTAGTGCTGACGAGAGTAAGATTTCAGGATTAAGTAGGTAATGGATAATTTAGTTTATTAATAAGTAGTGAAGACTGTTCGAGAGGACCAAAGTGTAAGCCAGGTAGAGGGAACAGAAATAATATATTATAATAATAATAAATATATTAAGTTGTTGACCTGAGTAGATGGCAATAAAAACGACCAGCAAGTCTCAAGGCATGCATCAGGTACAGCTTGTCCACGAGGGAGATGATAATCCGCAAGTAAGTAGTTAGTAATCAAGTCTCCCCTCTCTGCACTCGATTCAAGGGATTTATGTCTTTTATGGAGAGGGGATGCAACGACATTGTGAATCTGAAGGTGTTGGAGTGCATGTGTCTTAAAGAACGTTAGGAATAATTCAGGGGTGGTAGCAGTAAGTTGTCTTCGCATAGAGTTAGATTTGCATTTGCCTTGGCTGAATCCCCTATATAGTTCGAGCTGGTGTGGAGGCTTCCAGTGGTTGTTAAACCGAGATCGCGCTCTGGGGAGTCATCAGGGATTGGACTGCCATTGAGGGTGTAAATCGTTTGCGTCATGTGAACCAGAATGTACATGACATGATATTTCGGCTGGTTTGGTTTTAAACCTCTTTTTACCGCCCATTCCTCGATGGATGTAAGGTCCGTTCGAAGCTCAGTCGAATCCTCTTCGCTTCCAATGGACCTCCAGTACTTTGCGTCGTCTAATTAGATCAATGCCGGCGAGCTAATTTTTTTAACAGACCGTTAATCAACATCAGGAAGAGAAGTGGACTTAAGATGGTCACCTGTGAAACTTCCGATGTTGAGACTCGCCAACTCGCGTGCACTCCACCTACCTTGGTACGAAACTTTCTATTTTCAAGGTAGTTTCTGAGTCAAGGTACGAGTGGGTCAGTGAAGCCCATTTCCACCACCTTCGTGGTTGCGAAGGGGTAATGTGTCAAAGGCTTTTGCGGTCAAGAAATATTATGTGCAGCTGTGTTTTTCGGTCTAAGCAGGGTGTTCAACTGTCCAATGCTATGAGAAGATTGGATGCGCTCGACCCGCCTTTCCGAAACCCGTGTTGAGCTTCATCCAGTATTTTATTCCTATCCATATGTTCCCCAATCTTTTCGTTTACCAGCCCTTCAATTACCTTTAATGGTATTGGTAGTTATGCGGCTGGCCTGTAACAGGCTGGGTCCTTTCTATCTCCTCCTTGGCAGATTGGAGAGAGCGAAGCTTGTTTCCAATCAATTGGGAGTTGGTGACTTTAGTGAATGCCTGAACAAGTCGCATATCGGTGAAAAGAGGGCTTCTGCACATTGTTTCAAGACTATGGGACGAATATTGTCAAAACCTAGTGACTCACCTGGGCGTAAGGATTTTCGTTTCCTTAGTACTAAGTTGGAAGTAATATGGATATCCCCTTAACAGTCAGCTGGCACTGGGTTTGCGTAGCACTCTGAACACGCGGATGCCTCGTTTAATTGCTCAGTGAAGTTGGTGTCGAAGATTTCAGCCATCTCTAGGTTTGTGAGGTAGGTCTTCCCCGCTCGGACCCTAGGGGGAACGCAAACCCTGATTCGTAGGTTTTCTTTTAGTCATGAATCTAAACAGATTCTTCGGGTTTGCGTGTATTTTGACAGCAAGCCTCATCTGAAAGCGTCACCTATCACTTTGACCTTTAGTATTCAATCTGTTTCTCAATTCAAACTAAGAACTACCATCAGGATCCTTCAGTGAGACCTTCCACTAGCGCCAGCCCCTCCTGTTCGCCTGTAAGAAGCGTTCAGTGCAGAGCCTAACCCATATTATTCTATTTCCGGCTGTGTAGTGTGACTGAGTTACGTTGCTAAGGTCAGCATTCGGGATGGTGTCTCTCATTATCTGCCAGTGGTTATCTACTGTCAGCCGCCGTCACTTCCGTGTAATTTCCCCTAGTGTAACAAAGATAGGGATCATTTTCGTCCAACCAAAGTGTTTCATTTATGACCATGTGAAACGAGACTCTGCTATGGTTACTAATTCCTGTTGGTGTATGGATGTGAACATACTCGACCAGGTCATTTGTTAACAAATAATCCAAGTTTCGATACTCCCCCTCCTTAGTTGATCTAGTGGCATTGCGTAGACGCTCAGTAAGTCCGGAGCTTCTAATGGCTGCATCAAATCGTCTTTGTAACCAAACAGTGGGAGTTTTACTATGATTACTGAGATGTAGAGATGGAGTGTTGCAATCTCTAGTTAAGGGTATCTGGTCAAACACAAGGAGTGGCAGTTGCAGTATTGCCTCAGTCCGTTTGTCTTTCTGGGCCTTAGTACCTAAGGGAGGTCGGTGAATCCCTCCAATAAAGTATTTCGTGCCATTTGTGTGGAAACAACACCAACCTGACTTTGTCACCTCAGCTAGTTGGGTGCCTTTATGCTGTTGTCTCACAGATGTAGGTCTCTAAAGCCAGTTCGGGCACTCCGCGAACTACCATGCTGGTCTTATCTTGGGTGCCTGGCGTCTTCCTGGCTGCCACTCGTACTGACCACCGTTTATCTTGCATGATCCGGACAGGAGAGGAAGATTTAACCGATGGTCTCTGGTATGAGAAGAGGATGTCTTCGGCAAGTTGTGCCAAGTCTATTATCACCCTCATTGAAGGGGGTTTCCCTTTCGAGGCTTTCTAGCCTTTGTTAAGGCGGCATATTTTTGTGAGGATAATGCACATTCTGAGGATTGCTCAGTACATACCCATCGTTCTTTATCAGAGGCGGCCCTACCTTCTAGTGGGCTACGTTCCGACACTAGGACAATAAATAAAATGAGTGAAACAAGTCTATTGTCCCTGTCCCTGAGTGGTAGCCGTACTGTTAACAGATACTGGGGGGTTAACAAGAACCGACAGTTTGGTTGGTGTGTTGGTTTGGGTTTTGGCTGCCTTGGTCGCCTGTTTAACTGGTTTAGTGCCAGACAATTTAGGATGTGACTTTTGAGCTGATTTTGTGTTGGGCCTGCGGCTTTTCCAATGCCTCAGTTACTCTGCACCGTGGACAGATATATTAGAACCACGGACAGAAGTAACTGGACATGAACCCATTGTACTCTTTAGATACTGTAGTGTCGCAGTGACAATCGACCCATTTACTACAGAAATTGAATTAAAAGCAGAATCACCAATTTTGACTGGTACTGAGCAGGCTATACAGTCATCCTTATGCAACTGTGACGACTGAACCTTAGGATACCTTTTCCTCCTATTTTTATTTGGCCTACTAATCTTTCTAGGAATAGGAGTCTGTTTTAAGCCTAGTGGAGGCGTTTGGGTTAAACACTAATCTGAGGAATGCTTTCGATCGACGGTTTCAGTTTATTCACAACCCTGTCGCTCGAGACTGGGATTTTGAACCCCTTAATGACCCAGGGGTTCATACCTTTGCAGGTTTTGGTGGTTGTGATAGTATAAGGTGTGATAGCAACCTTATCACCTAACATGACACTCGAGAGATTCGGAGGTGAAAATCAAGGTAATTGAAAATGCGCGAACTAGGAATTTCGGAAGGAAGAATTTAGTAGTACATAAATGTAACTATGAAAGAATAGAAGCTTGAAGAACTCCAAAAGTGCAGCTTTAACTTTAACAGTTCTAGTAAGCAACTTCGCGTGGATCCAGTAACTTGTACACAAGTCCTGTGTTTGCGAGTGTATGAATGTGTGTATGCTGCAGAAGCAACTAGAAAGAGAGCAGTTGATCGTGGATGCTAGATCTACCACACAATGGTTCTCACTCGGAATGATTCAGTTAGTCCAAATTAGTACTCAGACTGTCAACCAGTGAATGGAAACAACTTTTATATATTCGAGGGTGATTAAATATCCCAATCTAGTGTCCGAAAATGGATTGTTTCCTGTCAATGAAAGGAAGAGAACAGTCTTTCAAGCCAACAAGGTATGATACGTCCAAAACAGTCACTTTAGAGGTTAGCGGTGCTTTGTAAAAACAAGGGGTCCCCATCCGCCGCAAATTTTCGGTGTCTGTTCTATCTTTGGTAAAGTGAGTGTACAATTTCTAAGTGCAACTAGCCATTTT